GGGGGCCGGCCCCCCCCCCCCCCGCCTTTCTAAAATATGATCCTCAAGATTTGTCCAAAAACGATGTAAAACTCATTGGGGGGGGTGTAGTATACTGTATGCTTGTGTCAATAACAATTGTAAAATACTTTCCTATTTCCTGTAGCTAACATGAGTCAAATAATGGGGAGAAATTTTGCAAAAAGGGCGTTTCCCCGCATTTGCGAGTGTTTGAAGGGCGTGGTCAAAAAATTATGGGGGCTGCACCCCAGACCCCCCCCCACTACTGCAGCCCTGGGTACGCCACTGTAGTAATGGATGTAAAAATAGCCAATCCATGATAAATAAGTTCCTACAAAAGAAAAAAAGATAACACATGTATTGGTTACTACTACTGCAATAACAAAATGAAGGTGATGTGACATTCAGCCCTATATCTCCTGATAGAAGGGAATATGTTCTTTAAATCATTATTGCAACCCACCCTCTTCTAATTTGTCCAGTTCCTTTCTCTTAATTCGTCGAAGTTTCTTCCTTTTTTCTTTTTTCCATATCCGTCTCCATTTCTTGTGGCTAATAAAAAACAACACCATATCATAAGATTCAGACAACTAAAAGATGAAAATACTCTTAGTAGTTGAACAGAAGTGTAGTCTTTTCAGTAATGCTAAACAAAATATTGGATCAGTCTCAATGTGAATTTATAAACAAGCTTAATACTTTAGTGCAAAAAAAGATTTTGAATTTCTTTTTCTCTGTGGAGCAAGCACTCTTAGGTGATTTATCTGGCTTGGATGCCAAACCTAAACACAAATATCTACTTTGTGATACAAGATAGACCAAGAGAATATTATTTCACAACTCTTGGGGGGAAGCATACACAGTTAGCCGTATCTTCAATTCTATTCTGGTCTTGTTCCCCTTTAGTTAAAACTGTTAATATTATTTTTGCCAAATTCGAAACCCAATTAAGAACCCAGCAAATTCATTTTTTTCTCATAGTGTCCCTTGAAGTGCTCTGGTTTGACAGAACAGATTTTAACTCAATCACAAAAAATGATTGACAAAAAATGGATATTGATCAATCATGAAAATTTAAAGGTAATTTTCCTAAATTTGAGCAAATAGTTAAGGTGAATTTGAGCAAATAACAACTTAGCATTGCAAATTTTAGATACAGAATATAACAGACTTTCAGACCAAAAAAACCAACAAAACTTATACAATTATGTTATATTTTCCTTTGTTTGTTTACCTAAAAGGCATGAAAAAGTAAAGTTGCAATTTTGCTAAAATTTGTACAAAACAAATCATATGTAATAACTAAGTACAGCATTAACTTAATTATACTTCAATGGTAGCCGCAGCTTATAATTATTTTTGGTATGTTTATAATCAAAGGCAGCTTATAAAGGATGGGGCTAACATTATCAAGGAGGGTGATAATGTTGAAAATGAGGAAGAAATACTTATAGACACTAATGATAATACAATACTGCATTATATTGTTGTTGGTTGAACAACGAAATGTATACTTTTGTGGTTTAATTACACAATCAGGCTTGTATCAGTTTCTGTGTCCGTCATTTCAAACCAAGTATCTCTGCATGATTTGGTGGGTATGGCTAATAATCAAGGGCAGCTTACATTTTGCTACGAACCCAACTTATTGGAGCCTATGATGGAGGATAGCCTTCAAACAAAGAAATATATCAAATAATATGGTAGGCATGAAAGCCTATTTCTACATCAGTTTTATCCAGGACATATTGGGCTAGAGGTAGTATCTACATCTTGGTTATTGTTCAGTTACTCAATCATTGAAAAGTTTTTGGGATCCCTTTTTGTTTATTTGAAAGATATATTTTGTCATTCTGTCATTACTTCAAGAACTTTATACCTTGAAGAAGCTTTTTTGTTTTATAACAGAATAAGCTTGCTTTGCATGGTTGCATGAGAAATTTGAATCTCCAAAAACTAAAAAGCAGGAAAGATATCTTTAACAGGTTAAACTGAATAATAAGCCTTTAAAAACAAATTGCCAAATAGCCTTTGGAATAAGCCAAGAGGCTCATAACCTTATCTTGAATGAGACACCCTAGTTCAGGTGAATGAAATAAGTCTAACATAAAATAGATCAAAAGTTTTGTCCATCACAACCATGTGGTGTGATGCACACCAGTGGCGGCCTGAGCTTTTCGCCTGGAGGGGCCAGCAGCAAAATGGCGTCCTTCATAACTAACATTATTGTCTTCTCCTGAAAGGATTGGCAGTCTGGTAATGCTCTTATATTTTCTAAACTTGTATGTCAAGGATAGACTGACCCTCACGTGAGGACAGGATCCCAAATATAATAATTTTTCATGGGGATGTCAGGACAAGTTGGACCGACTCACATACGAAATTAACTCTTTGAAGCCAAAGCAAGCAGATAACTAAATAAAAATGTGTCAAGAACATGTTTGGGAAAATTCCAAAGGCTGAAATAGAACGTCAGCATGGAAGAAAGTAATAGTAACAAAAACAAAATTGTGCGATAAAATATTAAGATTATAACCTCAGTTTAACGGGTTTTTGCATTCTAATACACGAATCTTCGTGTTTTTTATCCAAAAGCACGCTTCGTGGATCAATAATTTCATCTTTATTTGAATCCTGTACAAATAACTCCATCGCTTCGTTCTTTTTTCAAGCTGCTAGTAGACATTTACGTTCAGCCTCTTTTTGGATAACATCTGGCGCATTCAATGAGATGATAATGAGGCAAATATATCATTCAATGATATAGATGCGCTGAAGGCGCTAGATGTCTAACTCGGGTCATGCTGCGTACCGAGTGAGGCAAATTTGTTAACTTCCGTTTTTTTGAGTTGAAAAAGTATGTGTTTGCAATTTTTATCTTCATATAGATTAGAAAAAACTTTTAAAGTCTATTACCTAATAATATAGACCATTTTAGATATATAATTCTTGAATTTTACGTTTGCAAAATTAGAAATCTTTGTCGTGAAAGTGTACCCCGAAGGTATTTTATAGGCCTAAAGATACGGGGAGGGACGCATTGTGCTGAAGAATAATTACAAGCAACGAGTGTGGTCAGGGGCGGTCTGGTGGCAAAGTGGCGATCACCACCCGGGCCCTGTGTACAAAAAATTTACGGGCCTTTCCGCGTTGGAGAAAATTGTTCAACTTAATATCAAATACTTAATGCCCTTGACTGATTATATTGCGATTAAAGTCCCAATACATGCGCTTCAAACCACCCAAACCCTGGTTTCCGTCATTTCAGCCATGTGTTCAATCTTACGTGTACCCTGGGTCCCAGAGCCACAAAATTTCGAGCGCGTGAACAGAATGCCAAGCAGAGAAGCGAATGAGCCTACTCTTATCTTTTATTTCCGCTCTCTAATTTATGTGGCTCTGATGCCCAGGGTATCTGACTGTCAGAGACAGTGCTGTGGGAACGAAATTCATATTGGGGAGGGGTCGGCTGCTCATTGTATTCATTTCCACCTAGCAGCATACCCTTCCCTCTACAACGCGTATAAATGCTTGATGACACTTACCTGCACCCAAGTTTCCTTTGAAAAATTATTCAGCGCTACTGATAATTTCAAAAGAAGAGAAAACTTTCCACTTGATTACGAGCAAGTCATTGGCCAATTTGCTGATTCATTTGCTGCGATTTTGACGCCAGACCGCCCCTGGTTTCGAAGCTGCTTATATCTTGGCCATAGTGCTGGATCTCTGTCGCACATCAAATTCTTGATGCTTGGAGAAATCCATGGTACATGTGCATGCCGGGGCATGCACATCCAAGACAGGGAGAAAGAGATCGTAGAAATTGCTAGCCATCTTATTGGGGTCATCCGATCTACATCACATAGCCATCTCCAAGTCAATACTACCAAAGTCATTAAGGAAAGAGTCACAGTCATAATTTTTCAAGCTGCGTGACTCTGTTTTAAATTTCACGTCATTGACATAAACTCTAGCGTTTAATTTTCTAATACCGTATGTCATATAGTGGTCTGTAATACCGTATTTACGACCGATACATTACAGAGGTTGTTGGGTCTGTTTGAAGAAAGGTGATCTATTAACTAAAACGTTTTATTAGGCTCTTTATCTTTATTTTAGTTAAGTTAAGTGAGCTTCTGCTAGATGCCCAGAGCATCATAGGGCAACTCATAAATTATTACTGGATGATTTATCTTCGACAAGATCAAATTACGAAATTTACAGATGCTGACATTTACAGGAGATGTTTTGTTTTTGGTTCTGGGAATTTCGATTTGTTTTAAGTTTTGATAAGAGAGTCTTTCCGATGGTTATACGAGAATTACAATACATGAACTCTATATCGAACTGACGAGGAAAATTCACATTTTGTGAACAAAGCAAGAATCTGGGAAAGCCGCAAATAGACATTTTCACAAATCCCAAAATTCAATACTGTACATTTTCGAAATCAATACTACACGTTTTTAAATTAATACTGCACAGTGTGTAATACTGCACACTAAAATAGGCCCTGGAAAGAGCATTATCATTCAAGAAAGGAACATGCACAAATTACATAACAAAATATAGGCAACATTGGAAAAATTCTCTTCCCCCTAAATTATCATCTAATTTACATCATTTATTGATCATCATGACCGTAAACATTTGTGTGAACGTTCCTTCATCTTTGATTAGGTAATATGTGAACGTTCCCATACCCAACTGCCAACGCATCGATAATCTTATCCAGATACAACCATTCTGAATGGAAATAACATAGGATTGTACTCAGTTAATGCTTCAAAAGTGAGAACCCTCTCAGCTATTCGATATCAGGCATTTGAAATAATTCGCATTAGTCATAAGTGAAGAAACGTATTTGCGCTGGTCATAAGTCTTGGTTAATGACAAGTCTTGAGCGTTTTTGAAGATTTCGGAAGACCATTCAATAAATTATACAATTACGAGGAATTTGCAAAAACTGGTGGAAATTTGTTACATCATTGATATAGTTTTTCTCAATTTAATGGTAAAGCTAAACTTAACTGTAAAATCTATGACGCCGAAACCATAACCACGGCAAACTTTTTATGCAAACGTTCTTTCGAGAGGTCAATTGATGGTTGTAATCAATTTTAGTTCTGTGCGAATATTGATAACTGCCTTTCGAAAGTTCTTTGAAAAATATAACTCGAAGCAAGAGCGTACCGGGAAATTTCGCCGTGTCCTGGTGGGCCGAGAAGCGATGGGTGGAGAAAAACTGTGGATAATTTTTCGCAGATAGAGAGACCAAAATTTGGTGTATCCTGCAGAGCAGTGAGAGATCGATTCCAGAATATTTTCACCAACAAAAAGTCCAAAAATAGAAGAGAAGAAAGTGCAAGTGGAATTCATCCTGAGCACACAAAAAACATGTTTTCCTTGCACTATAAGGGAGATTTTTGATGCAGCAATTGCTGATCAGCAAGCAGCATCCCAGCAAGTTAAAGAAAAACAAACAGCAAAAATGGAAAAAGCTGAAGAAATGAGAAGGAAATCAGTAGAAACAATTGGAGAAAGCAGGAAGAGAAAGGAAGGGGTGGTAAAAAATGTAAGTGAAAACAAACGAAACGTTTGGCAGAAAACCTTTAAAAAGTATTCAAGAAAAAATCAGAGTTGGCAGTTGACTCAATCCGGGCTGACTCACAATTGCGTTTGGAAACCAAGTTTAGACCCACTTTCCGTTTAGTATACAAATTGAAAAGAGTTTACCCTGGGTGAACTCAACACAGTTTGAACCTCGGTAGCTGTTTGTAGTGTAAACCGGGCTTTCGATTGGAAATAATTTCACTTGCTTTCATTATTAAGCGTCGGACGAAGAGTTCAAGTGAATTTTGTTCCATTTTTCCGAGCTATTTTGAACATTATTTCTTCCTTGTACTCATATTGTAGTTTTCTAAATGTATTATCAGTCATTCTATCAGTTCAATTTTGCGTAGACAGAATATCCTCAATGCATTCTAAACAACAGGTTACACCATTCAATCTTTTCCTCTCTTGGGTACAGTTAAATTTTAGCTGTAAGTCAGCGCTGTGAGTTATTGTTCTCCGATCGCAGTAACTGCCAAAAAATTCACCATATCTTTGAAACGCGTTCAGATTTGTAAGAGTTATTAGTTTCTATAGACTAAACGCTGAAGCAACGAACATCGTAGAGAAATCAGTTTTGTTGATTTTCTTGATTACTTTGATAAAACATGAATCAAAACTGTGGACCAAAATTTGCATAAAAAGAATCATAAATAAAGGATATTCCTGGGAATTCGGAGCCTGGAGAAATCCTGAACTAGGCAGACATAAGAAGGTACCTTTCAGAGTTGTTTTGATGCTCGCAACTTTTTAAAAATATAATTTTCGCAACTTTAGATTTGCAAAAAATTTTATAAAATAGAAATTATGCTTTCTTGCTTTACTCTACTTTTCAAATGTATGTATAGCGAAGGGCGGGGGAGGAAGTGTGAGAAGTGATGTCATTGGCAATATGATACAGGGGTTCAGAGAGGTGGTGACACAGGGGGGCAGGGGGCCTAAAAATCTTTAAATTATAGGTGATATCATTATGTATAACCCTATCATGAATATCAAATGTCTTGTCTACACTATACTATCGAACCCTGTTTTAGCCTGGGTAGGGGGTAGAGTGAACCCAAGTTATATTTTCTATTGTGCGAACACAAAGTGCCCGGCCGGGGCTGACTCGGCCGGGGCTGACTCGGCCGGGGCTGACTCGGCCGGGGCTGACTCGGCCGGGGCTGACTCGGCCGGGGCTGACTCGGCCGGGGCTGACTCGGCCGGGGCTGACTCGGCCGGGGCTGACTCGGCCCGGGCTGACTCGGCCCGGGCTGACTCGGCCCGGGCTGACTCGGCCCGGGCTGACTCGGCCCGGGCTGACTCGGCCCGGGCTGACTCGGCCCCGGCTGGCTCGGCCCGGGCTGACTCGCCCCGGGCTGACTCGGCCCGGGCTGACTCGGCCCGGGCTGACTCGGCCCGGGCTGACTCGGCCCGGGCTGACTCGGCCCGGGCTGACTCGGCCCGGGCTGACTCGGCCCGGGCTGACTCGGCCCGGGCTGACTCGGCGGGCAATTGCTTTGAAATAATGCTTTGTTAACGCGAAAGAGGGTTGAGTCCGATTAACTTTTCTACTGCGCATGCGGAATAAGGTGTCGAATTGAAAAAGGAGCCATTTTTTTCTGCATCTTTTCGCACAGCTTGTTTTTTCTATTAGCTTTAAGGTTACGGTAGACGTTTTCTGGACGA